TTTTTTTTTTTTTTTTTTTTTGAAGGTCTTTTACATAATAATACAAACATGAATTACAGGGTAGGGTTGCTAAACTTCTAACAGGGTTTGAGCGGCTTCCCGCAAAGGCAATCATTGAAAACAAATGATGCGGCTTCAAGATGATCGAATGGCGCCCCGCTTGGGATCGGCCCACACAGGTGGTTGTGGCTCAAATCCAAGTGTCCGATATATGAAGCTTCCGATATCGATTTCGGAATCCGCCCTTTCAAGTTGTTGTAAGACAAATCCAGCACCGTGAAGTACGATCGTGGCCCTAGAACATCCGGTAGCTCTCCGGTTAGGTAGTTTCGGCTTAAATTCAAATTGCTTATTCCTGAAACCAACAGACTCGGCGGAATGTTGCCGTAGAATTTGTTGCCGTCCAGATTCAATGTGGCCAACACCGCCATTCTTCCCATGAATTCCGGGATTTTGCCGGTGAGTTGATTCAGGGAAAGATCCAGGTCCGCTAAGCGATAGATCCGGGAGATGGAAGCGGGAAGAGGACCGGAGATCTGGTTCCGGCTCAGCAAAGCCCGGCTCAACATCCTCATATTCCCGAAATTTCGGGGTAACGTTCCGGAAATTTTGTTGTTTCGGAGGTCCAAATGCATCAAGTTCGGAAGCGCCGTAAGCGAAGCCGGAATTGAACCGGAAATCAAATTATCCGCCACGTTGAGCACCGTGAGTCGATGAAGCCGACCAATATCCGCCGGAAGGTCGCCGGAGAGACGGTTACCAATGAGGTCAAGAATTCTGAGGAACGGCAACGAAGTTATACACCTCGGAATCTCACCGGTGATTCCCTTCCAGTCAGCAATGATAACGCTGGAGAGACGAGTAAGCTTGCAGATGGCCGGAGAAATATACCCGGTCATAAAACCAGTACGGTGAGCCCGTTCGAAAATCGGATCCTCAGATTCGCCCCGGAGGTTAATATCGGCAACCCGGTGAGTCACTGGGTCACAGCTAACGCCGTACCATCGGTTGCAACAGTCGTCTCCGGTCCAGGAATTAAAGATCCCCAAATAGGGCTCCTTAAGGGCAGCTCTGAAAGCCAGAAGAGCTGCCCGTTCCGAAGGCGGGCAGCCATGAACCGCCGAGCCAACGGCCAAAACCAGTAAAATGGTTAAACACGGTACGACGGTGCGCATTTTAAGCTCTGATCCGTTAAAGGTATGTGTGGAGCAATAAATGAAACTGTCAGGAGGGGGCAGGCTGCAGCACGGCCATGGAAGTGAATGCAGCGGCAAATATATAGCGCCATGGAAGAGAGTGGCGATCTGGGAAATGACGGTTCTACCCCTAACATGGGTCTGTATTATTACTTTAACACTTTAATCTGCCCGTGTCCTTTTTCGAATTTTCCGTCGTCTTCTCCACGTCATCCGTAGGCACATGTGTTCTGTGTTGTGTAGATTATAATAGATTATATAAAATTAAATAAAATTTTAATAGAGAATAATACAGATATTAGAAAGAAAATAATAATTATTATAATTGGCTAATTAAGAGTTGACCAAAAAAGAAATAAAGGTTTATGCAAAGATTTATAGAATTCAATCTTTAATTTAGATTTTATCCCCTACCCATATTTGTCACATTCTATATCTCTTCATTTTTATTTTTTTTTTAAATATAACATTCAAATAAAAAATCGTGTATACTAGAATGGGTAAAATTTAAAGTCTATAAACCCACTCCAATTGAACGAGTGCAATTGATTGACTTAAGCATAGGAGCGTATTAGACACGACACCATATTGATATGAATATCTTTCTGTTGGTTAATTTAGTGGAAAATCATGAGTTTATAAATGAGACCATAAGAGCTTATGCTCAAACTAAACAATATTATACCATTGTGGAGAGCCATGATTCCTAACACTTTCCTCGTGGGTCTACTCATATATACAACTAATTGTCTTGCCACGAATCTGACCTGAACTGTGGGTGACAACAGAGAAATTTGGTAGAATTCTTTGAGATGAGAGAACTTTGTAAAACTACGAAGGAATACTTGATTGATTTTCTATACCTTCCACCAATGCCAACATATATATATATATATATAGATATAGGTAATTTTGGACATTCCTATTCATACCTGTATCTACTAGTGACCCTTGAACACAGGTATCTATTCATACATGTATCTACTAGTGACCCTTCAACATAAACTTGTGGTTAGATTTTCACGTTAACTTATTCAATATGTTTTAACAATTTATTTTATTCATACAAATCGAAGCATAGTTTAAAGAAAATAACGCCTTATTATTATGATCGTGATAAATTGAATAGAATAAATGAAGATGGATTATTTTAGTTAAGTTGGGTGTACGCATGTGGAGAGATCTGTGAAACCAAACACACTGACAGCAAATGAAGGAGATCCCGATTTCAATTCCCAACTTTTCCTTGCCTAAAATATATTAAATCATACGCATAATTGAAATAGAGAAAGGCTGGGAGGAGGTGCGAGGAAGGTTCGGAAGTTCCAAATGTTTGGGGGTGGTTACTGGGGGAGTCAACGACACACCCGGCAGGTCAACATTTTATGAACCAAAAATTAATGTGGAATAACACCATCTTATTCAATTATTTCAACCCACAATATTGTATTATTGACTAAACATGTTCAATAATAATAATAATAAATAAATAAAAGCAAGATTTCAGGGCCTTCCCCTACAACTGGGAGAGAATCCAGGGATTTGTGGGCCAATAATTAAAAAAAAAGCCCATTAAACAAGTCATCAGGCCCATATAAAAAGCCCATTAAAGAAGTGATCAGGCCCACATCGGCTTCTCTCTCTCTCTATATATAATTACCTATCGTATAGAGAGTATAAATAATGTGAATTTTACTTTTATAAAAAGGACAACTCAGTAAACTATCGCAGAACCCAACGTTCATCTTCCAACGCATTTTGAATTTTCCCTCTCAAAACTAAGAATTTGAATATTATTGAAACAAAAACGAAATCAGTTTGATTTACATTTCCACTCCTTCTCCGCAACTGCGTTTTTCGATTTCTTTCCGCCATGGAAGATCAAGATGCCCTGGAGAATGTTTTCCAGTCATTCCCCACTTTGGTCTCTTTTTCATCCCCTGTTCATACGCCTTCACAGCGCCGTCTGTCCAGCAGCTTCACTCATCCCAGGCCGCCGGTTCCTGCCGCTCGACGGTTAGCTTGGGTTTCTCTTCAAGGGCGACTCGTTAACGCCGAACAAGCCAGTTCGGTTCGATCTATTAGAGGCAGCTTCGGCCCTGACGAAGCCATCGCTTGGCAGTTGTTCAGCCCCATTGAGCGGTTTCTTATCGTTGCTGTGATTGGCGTCGCGGTTTCCGAGTCCAAGAAGAATCATCAGATCGGCCAGCTTCAAAGAGCTGTCGAACTTAGGGTATTGTGGTTTCTTAATTCAACCTAGTTTTTTCCCCTATGGTAGTAATGGTTCTGCGATGGATTTATAACTGCTGGTGTTTAATCTAGATTTAGGGTTTTCTGTTCTTCCCTTATGCCTCGTAATGTAATCTACATCCATAAAATGGTATTTATGAACAAGTAATATGGTAACGGCGGCCACTTGTTAGAATAGCTTCTCAAACTTGAACTTCTACCTGATAGAGTGTAACGGAAACTAATTAATCTATTCATTCTTTTGAAATTGCTTTGGGTAATCTATCAAATTTATTCTATACTTTTTCTTTTTGTGTTACGATTTCGTTAATTATTTTAAAATGATGCGTTTATAATCTCATGCTACTACTTTTGTTTGTCCCAATTGTCTGGCCCCATGCGTCTTTGCAAGCATATCTTGAGATTTATTATCAAAAATCCATTGGTGGTGGTTAACTAATTACTCACTTTATGGGAACTCAAAACAATAATAAAAAGAAAGTTTTCACTTTTTAGTATTTGAGTATGAGAATCTAATGAGTTTTGTTTTTGTGGGCCATTGTTCTTATTAAATTGCTTCTTGTTTGGAATAACCAGGATCAAGTGCTCCTAAGCATGCAGCAGAAGCTTGATGATCTATGTGATCAAGTCATTCCCATTAAGGATCAATGTAGAACTGAGAATGACATGGGTTCGAGAAAGAATGCCGATTTGGCTGATTCTGGGGCTTTTGGCGATGACAAAATTAAGTTTGTTGATTGTGGCTGTTGGATTTGTGATCAGCATCACCATTTGTTCAGTGGTTTGGAGGTAAAAATACTCTTCTCTGTTGTTGATTTGAAATTTATGAACTCAGATTTTCGTTTATCTTTCGACTTTTGTTTTACTTCAGCAGTGTAACACCGCGACAAAGCCCTCTTGCGGGGCAGAGATGTTGCAATACAAAATGCCACTCATGAATGAAGCAGAGCAAGAGGAGCGTCGCATGTCTGATTTGTCAGATTGGGCTTCCAGTGTGACGTCTGCTGCTGATAATGATATGCAGGTCAGTCCAATTTTTAAGTTGTTTTCTCTGCTTCAGATTTCCATTGAATTCAGAGTTTTTATGACCATGTTGGCATGTTCTTTACAGATGAACACCTTGTCAATCGAACAAGATATGTTATTTCTGAAGAAAGATTGTAATGAGAAAGACGCAACCATCAAAGAATTAACTAATCTACTCCATTCGGCTGAGGTTTCTGGCTCACAGGTAATAATGTTCATCTGTTCTTCAATTTTCCCCTGCTTCAAACCCTGGCGTTCATGGTTTTTCTTTTTCCCCTGATGAGATCTTGTATTTTTCACTACCACAGAGGATGTCAGAGCTGGAAGACATCATTCGTCGGAAGAACATGATCATCTCAAAATTGAAGAAAGACATGGTCGTTCTTGAACAGAAGGTACCAAACACAAACAGGGCATCGTCAATTTTAGACTTCTACAAGTTTAGAGTCTCACCTTTTCTAATTGTGTTTGTGTTTCGCGAACCCAGGTTATTCAACTGACAAGACTGCGGAGGCCCTCTTCGTGTGCATCAAACGCGGAAATACAGCCGATTCCTTATATGACTGACAACCTTCTTTACGACATGGAAAGCAGTACAAGTCCTTCATCTTCCGACTCTGATTGCTTCCCTTCAGAAAGTTCACAACCTCCTCCCCCAACTAGAAAACATGAGATTCATCATATCCAAATTAGCGAGCCCTGTTTAACGAGAACCCAGAAATCAGCTACTAAGAAGAGACCTTCAACATCAGATTCCCGCTCAAAACCTCAGGTGGCAACCCCTCTGAAAGAACTGTCGATGAACAATCGAAAATCAGAAGCCATGTTGACATCATGTAGGCAAAGAGCGGATAAGGCCCGTGCCAGTGGCGATTCCACAAATAGCAGAAGACGCATTCAAACTGTGGCCAAGGACACACCTCAACGAAAGAGGAATATGTAGTAAGAATCTTAATAATATACACAGCTAGAAAGTTTGAAAATATGAAACATTAAGAACATGGGTTTCTGGGTAATCTGTTAAGGATAATTTCTTGTCAGCGTGTTCTTCGTTTGTTGGTTCTTTTTTGGAGAATGTTTGGAGAGGGTAGTAGAAATGCTTTTGACAGAAGCTGTTGTACTTAGGTAAATATGGGTCGGAGAATATGTAGTAGCACATTTATCCACAAAATTGTTATATATCTTACTATATATGTTAATGCCGTTGGTTAATTCGATGAAATCACTAAATCCATGGTTGATTTCATATCATATCAACCATGAATTTAATTATTTGAAGTGCAAGTAGTTGAGAAGGATTCACCTTTGTTTCAGCGGTGGATGAAAATCGCAATGCAAGTTCTACAAATCAGGGCTGGAACATGTGTACAGGGATAATGAAAACGCATCAAAGTTGCTTGTAATCTGAAAAGGTTTAGAATCGAAAAGTTCATCCATGGTTAGTATCTTCAACAAGCGCAATTCGATGCTTAGAAACAGTTCAAGAAGGTTTGAATAAATCACATAAGAATTTTATATTCAACAGACACTTGAACAGTGAAATTTCAAATGGCCATTAATTTAAAGCAAATTTTACAGAGTGAATTCATCAGACAGGATTAAGAACTCGATTTCTTTAACTAGATGCAGATGGATAGACAACTAGACTTAAGCCCTCTCGCCTCTAATTCTTCTAGCGAGCTGGATATCCTTGGGCATAATGGTGACTCTCTTAGCATGAATGGCACAAAGATTTGTATCTTCGAAGAGACCAACGAGATACGCCTCAGCAGCCTCCTGAAGAGCCGCTACAGCGCTGCTCTGGAAACGAAGGTCAGTCTTGAAATCTTGAGCAATTTCCCTCACCAATCTTTGAAACGGAAGCTTCCTAATGAGAAGCTCCGTACTCTTCTGATACTTGCGGATCTCTCTCAACGCCACCGTCCCCGGCCTGAACCTGTGTGGCTTCTTCACTCCGCCGGTCGCCGGAGCCGATTTCCTAGCAGCCTTGGTTGCAAGTTGCTTCCTCGGAGCCTTTCCTCCGGTGGATTTCCTAGCAGTTTGCTTAGTCCGAGCCATTAGTGAGGAAGATCTCAAGGGAATTCGTAGTTCAACTCGTGCTTGAGAATGCTGAAACTGAAGTGCGGAGAAATAGGGTTTTGAAGTTTCTTATATAGTGGGCAAATTACGAATGGCGGGAATTGAGAAGAAAAGACACGCTTCTTGAAACTTTTGGAGGTTCGATTTGGGCGTAAACAACGAGGAAATTCAACGGTGGAGATTTGTTAAAGGTTGGATCACGATCCGTGGCACTACTAACTGGCCAATAATACGCAAGATCGGCGTCTTCGCTGGCCCTTTCTTTCCAGATGCTTTTTGGTTTCAAGGGGGGGGGGCTAATAATTTTTCTTTTTTTCTTTACTTTTTAAAAAAATTGGTGGAGTTACTGTCCCAATTAATTTTACTTTGATAGTAAAAACTTATGTTTTTACTATGTTTTTTATAACAGTAAAAAACTTATGTTTTTACTATGTTTTTTATAATTGTAAAAAACTTATGTTTTTACCCTGTTTTTATGATAGTAAAAACTTACATTTTTAAATGTAGAGCGCTGATGTTAAAATAGCTTAGGACAATTAGTTCGAAGCCTAGGTGTAGTATATTGAGTGATTTTTTATAATTAAAAGTAATTTTTTTAACATTATGATTTTGTAGATGAAAATTTATTAAAAAAATAATAAAAATTGCAAACACTTATCAAATTTAAGATATAGATTAAAATTAGAGTTTATCGTAAAAAAAATAATGTTTTTGTCTAAGTTTAAGATAAAATTTGATATTTCCTAAAGGTAAATATAAGTTGATATTTTATGTTTTTGACTTTTGTGTATAAAATAAATCGACAATATTTTTAAAATATTTAAAAATTAATTAGTTTATTACTTATGAAGTTGAATTTTGTATAATTTCAATAAGTTTGTCTCGCAAACACTAAGTTTAAATCAATTTCCATGATTCTAAACTTTTATTTTGGGTTGATATGTCAAATCAGCGAAGTCTTAGAATTTTATTTAATTAAAATTTTTGAAGTTCATTAGATACAACTAATAAATAATTAAAGATTAAATCTATAATTTAAGAAAGCAAATATAATAAAATTAAATTAAATCAAGGGAGATGATAATTCAAAATTAAAATGTCTAGAAATATGATGTTTGGTGACTGCTGTAAGGAAATGTTATCAAAATTTTATTTTATACAATTAATAATTATTAGTTAGTTTATTTTTATGAAATGAAATTATTAAAATATTTTTATTAATAGATATATTAAAAGAGGGTTTTTCAGTCTCTTCTATTAACTTTAGTTCTATCTTATTACAAGCTTAACAATCTCCAACTCCACATATTATTATAATTAGGTCATCCTTAAAAAGTGTTTTAAATATTATTTATAAGTGTGCAAAAACTTCTACCTACCCGACTCTTTTAAAAACATTGAGGGAAAATCTGAAATGAAAAGTTCGAAGAGACACAATATAGGCTAGTCGTGGACTTTAGTTATTACAAATGGTATCAGATCTAGACATGGGACGGTGTGCCAACGAGGACAATAGGCCTTGAATAGAGGGTAGATTGTGAGATCTCATATTGATTAAATGTCCAAGCGGCGTGCCAACAAAAATTCTAGCCCTGAATGGGAGTAGATTGAGCAATCTCATATCAATTGGAGAGAGGAATGAGTGCTAAATGGACAGACACTGAACAATGTGCTAGCGAGAACGCTAGGTCCCAAGTGTAGGTAGATTGTGAAATCTCGCAGTATCACTAGAACCAAGCAAACGTGCTAAAGTTTCTAATTAAGTCGGATTAGTAGGACAGTAGATAAGATACGGCCCATATAATCAAAAGTGTTTTAAAAATGTGTTTTTGTAGAGCACAGACGGCTCCGTCACATCCATTGTTAATACCCACTTTTGTTGTTTACTTCAACCATTCATATCAGGAATTGAGTGATTTAAAATGAACCCTCCATCAATCAACCCAAATAATTGGACAATAAATTAAAAAACACATTTCCTCTAATTTCTCTGTATTTTAAACGCATAATTAATCAGGATAGCACACGATACAAATAGAACACAATAAATGCCCAATGTTAATGAATTACATTTACAATTATTCCCAACACCCTCTTCTTAAAAGCAGAGAATGATACTCTGCAGGAACCTCCCAAGCAAAACAGGACAAACCATTAAAAAAAAAAAAAAAAGGCCCCTACCCTCTTCTACCGTCTACTTTCAAGTGTGTAAAAAAGCAAAGAAAAAGGTGTGTGTGTGTGTGTGTGTGTGTGTGTGTGTGTTGTGGGCAGCACAGCAGCAGGAAGAATGGTAAACAAATGAGCTTTGCATTACATAAGGTTGTTGTGGGCTTGGAGCCCTTACCCTTTTGTTCATGTATATTGTATTGTATGATGCTGACTTTCCAATCACATGTTGTGCAATCATCCGCTCGCTCTCTAGCCAAGTAGCCTTAGACTTTACAGCGTATGACAAATAGTGATTCCCATGTGCTTTCAAGTAATCTGTATGTTACTTAACTTAAGCTTACAGCATCGGCTAATGATGTACGCAGCCAAAGAAGGAGTGCGAGGAAAGTGGAAAAGCAGAGATTGATGATCATAAAGAAAGGGAAAAGGGACAAGGGAAAAGGGAAACCTACCACTTTTACCTACTACCTTCATATTCCTTAGTTTATTTCTTTACCAAAAGCCAATAAAGCACATTCAATTATCCCTCATACTAAACCCATTCGATTATTAATACCATTTCGTTCGAATCATTGAGAGGTGATCTCATATGGGTTTGGATCATCGTATCACTACATGGGTTTGAATGGAAAGCGGTGGAGAATCGTTTATAAGTAAGGAATACATGTCCATTAGCGTTAGCAACGTGGGGGGGTGTGGGTGTTTCTTCAAAGGGTTACCAACTTTTTGCGCCCCACATTCTTCTCTCTCCTTCACGTGCTATCATTCCATTAATTCCCACTCACAGCACAGACAAAAGCTCATTGGATTTTCAGATAACTTCCTTCTTCTTCTTCTTCTTCTCCCGTTCTCTCGTTCTCTCCTTCTTTCTTTCGTTCTTTCAACCATTCTAAACTGCATACCATCCCATGTCTCTCTGAATTTCGATTGAACTCCGTTTCTTTTGCTTCAATTCTCTTCTACTGTTTTCTGGGTCTATGCGAAATTTTGTTTGCCGTCCTCGATTCTATGGCTGCCAAGGCTTCCACCCACATGTTTCAGAACGGTGGCGATATCAGTCGCCAAGAAATTCAAGCGGCCATTGCTAAAGCTGTCGAGCTTAGGGCTCTTCATGCCGCTCTTATGCAAGGAAGTAGCCCTTCTAATGTTCGATTCCCTTCGGCTTCTCCTGTTTCTCAGGCTGCTTCTCAATTCTCTGCGCAAGATTACCCTGTTTTTACCCCTGTGAGTTTAACTTCTACACTCTTTTATGCGAATCATTTTTCTTCTTTTTAAGTTTTTCTGTTCAATTTTGGACTTTCTTGATTTGATTATGATTTACGGATCTTATTTGCATCATTGACACGGATTAGCATTTATGGTTAGCATTTAATGCCTTTTTTTCTTGAGTCGAGGAGATTTTAGGATCACCATCCTTCTCTTTCACATTCTTCTCCGTCATTTTCTAGTTGGTTTATTGACGATTTTGAAATTTTGGGTATGCTTTGGTGGCTGTGTACGAAATGATCTAACCTAACAAATACATTTATGAGGGGTTAACTGTCAGTCAAACTAGAGACATGTGTTTGGTGAGCAACTAAAAAACATGGGTTTCTGTGAAACTTGAATTTGGAAATCGTTTTTCAGAGTTATGAAGATGAACCGACGAATGGCTACCACCAAGTTCCGATGAGAATTGGGACTTTTTCAGAAACCTGGGATGAGTATGGATTAGGAGGTGGAGGAAATGAAGATGAAACAGTTTTATCTGATTATAGGAAGGAGATTTCAAAAGGGTTGGGTTCTGATTTCACAAATTCTGAACCCCATATTTGTCCTGCTGAAGAACACAAAGCTCTCACTGGATCTGCAGTTCAAACATCACCTGTGAATGATTACTTCAAATCATCCAGGAGGAACAGTTTGGGGGACTCGAAATCAATTTCTTCGTGCAATCGCTGCAGGCCTGCAACTATCACAAAGGAGAGTGATAATGCAGCAAAGAACAGCAGGCTTTCGAACACCATAGTGCCATTGACAGATTCCCACTTGGCAACACAATCGCAACCCAAAAGCCGGGGAGTGATTTCGTGGCTGTTTCCACGGTTAAAGAAGAAGAACAAGAATGAGAATTCCCCAAACAGGACAGAGTCAGAGGATGTCTCTCAGATTTTTAAGGATTTGGGGATAGTGTCAATTGAAACATTGAAGAAAGAATTGATTGAGGCAAATGAGACGAGAGATGCTGCATTGATGGAGGTGGGTGAGGTGAAGTCGTCTTTAGGTGAGCTGAGGCAGAAGCTGGAGGGGTTAGAGAGTTACTGTGAGGAGCTAAAGAGAGCTTTGAAGCAAGCCACAAATGCAAGAGATCTCCAAACTGTTACCGATTTGCCAAAGAAAATAGCATTGAGCGCAGGGACGAACGGTGAGAATCAAATGCCAGTGAGTGAGGAAGTAATGGTGGAAGGGTTCTTGCAGATAGTATCAGAAGCAAGGCTATCAGTAAAGCAATTCTGCAAGACACTTGTAAGCCAGATTGAAGAAACTGATAGCACCCTGATGGAGAATTTGAACGCACTTCTTCAACCTTACAAGTTAGCTCTAAACTCCAAGTACTCAAGAGCTGTTTTGTACCATTTAGAGGCTATTATCAATCAGGCACTGTACCAAGATTTTGAGAATTGTGTGTTTCAAAAGAACGGCTCCCCCAAGCTGTTAGATCCTCAACAAGATCGGGAAGCGAAGTTCTCGTCGTTCGTGGCGCTGCGAAATCTCAGCTGGAATGAAGTGTTGAGGAAGGGAACAAAGTACTACAGTGAAGAGTTCAGCAAGTTTTGTGATCAAAAGATGAGCTGCATCATCACAACACTGAATTGGACAAGACCATGGCCAGAGCAACTGCTTCAAGCATTCTTTGTAGCTGCGAAATGCATTTGGCTGCTTCACTTGCTGGCCTTCTCATTCGATCCACCACTTAAGATCCTGAGGGTGGAAGAGAACAGAAGCTTTGATCCGAGTTACATGGAAGACATGTTTGCAGAGAGGCAGAGAAATGGTCCGAGTCGGGTTAAGATCATGGTGATGCCAGGGTTTTATGTACAAGACAGAATTTTAAGATGTAAAGTTGTTTGCAGGTACAAGTCACCTGCTTAAGGTATTTGGAGATTGTTCTTATATGTATAAATAAGAATGGGTGTAGAAAATCAATCAAATTTAGTGAAATATTTGCTCCTGTGTTCCAATTATATTTGCTTTGTTAATTCATTAGTTACATTTTTATATCTATACTGTAACGTCCCACATTGGTTGATTGGGGAGGAGACGGACATTGGTTGATTGGGGAGGAGAACAAGCCACCCTTTATAAGGGATTGGAAACCTTCCCCTAGTAGACGGGTTTTAAAGTCTTGAGGGGAAGTTTGAAAGGGAAAGCCCAAACAAGACAACATCTACTAGCCGTGAATCTGGGTCGTTACAAATGGTATCAAAGCCAGACACCGGAAGATGTGCCAGCCTTCTCGCAGTTCCCCGAAGGGGGAGGGTGTGAAAACTTTTCCCTAATAGATCCGTTTTAAAACTGTGAGGTTGACGGCGATATGAATCGACCCAACTAGACAATACCTACAAATGATGAGTTTGAGCTGTTACATATGTACTTAGAGCTTTCTTATGAACTTAATTTTAATTTCGAACCTTAAAGAAAGGGACAGATACCAACTATCGTTGAGTTAGGCTCGTGGTGGGTTTAGTGAAATTTATTAAAGTACAACACAACTAGCGAATGCACGTGTTCCATTGAAAATTATCTGTATCAATTTAATATCCGTATTTCTTAATCTTAAAATCAACACCCACTCCTGTCTGATGTCAATTTGATATATTTGTTTTTTAAATTTATAGAGAATGTTGTTGATGTTGTATGTACTCACAACCGCGATGAACGGAATTACACAAACAAACACCAAGATATATACGTGGTTAGGAGAAAAGAAGTTCTCCTACATCCACGAGTAGCAACCAATCACTAATAATCAAAGTGTTATAAGTGAATATCTCACTATCATCCTACAAGGACTCTCACCAAAATGTCACTGAGGAAATATAAGAAATCCAATGTGGCACACAAAACTCTTTCAAATTTGGATATCAACCACGTTTTAGACAAGCCCATTATAGAGGGACAGTTGTTTGGATCATTGGAATTAAATAAGATTAATATTAAATGGTTACAAAATTAATAACCAAATTAATAATATTCTTATTTAATCGACCGTTATAAAAAATTGATGAGAAATTGATGAGAGTTAATACTAAATTAAATAAAAGAGTTGATTTGAATTTAGGAGAAAACAAAATTTAAACACGGCAGGTGTGACACTGGGCTTTAATCTTGAATTTTATACCAAGACAGGCAGGCAGTGCTGATTGTGACTGTGATGCGTACTCACGTAAGACCCACATTCATACGCACATCCATTCATACCATTTCTTTTTGTTTCACATACCGATGGAATGACATGAAAACAGCCATTTCGCCATCTCTTTCCTCTCTGTTTTCCTCTCTGGCACAATTTATACCTTTCCATTTATTCACTTCCCCCCCATAAATTACATCGTTTCATTGAGTTGGGTTTCCATGTAAACGACCCACTTCAGAAAACTTTGGAGACAAACCATCTGAGTATCATCTATGGGCGATGGAAAACAGAGCGTTGTGCTATTCCCCTTCATGGGGCAGGGCCATATCATTCCATTTCTTGCTTTAGCCCTCCATATCGAGCAAACAAACAGCACTGACTACGCCATCTACTTTGTGAACACTCCCTTGAACGTTAGGAAGCTCAAATCTTCACTTCCTCCAAATTCTTCCATTCGTTTTCTTGAGATCCCTTTCTCAAGCATCACCCATGGCCTCCCACCCGCGTCTGAAAACGCTGATACTCTTCCTTATCACCTTGTCATGCGTCTTTTCCAAGCTTCTGCTTCCCTTGAGTTCAAATCCTCTTTCAAGGAAGCCATTCATAATCTCACAATTGACAACCATGGCCGCCCTCCACTCTGTATCATCTCCGACATCTTTCTTGGCTGGACTGCAACTCTTGCTAAAGAACTCGGCGTGTACCATGCAATTTTTAGTGGTGCAGGTGGTTTTGGCTTGGCTTGCTATTGCTCTCTTTGGTTCGATCTTCCTCACCGGAAGGTTGCCACGGACGAGTTCTCTCTGCCGGATTTTGAAGAAGCCTCGATTGTTCTCCATAGGACCCAGTTGCCGGCCAACATTGCGGAGGCCGACGGTGAGGACGATGGGTCGATTTTCCATAGGGAAAATTTATCGGCGTGGGTGGACTCTGATTGGTTGCTTTTCAACACGGTTGAGGAGTTTGATCAAATTGGGTTGTCGTATTTCCGGCGTAAATTTCCCGGTGCAATTGTTCGACCAATCGGCCCACTTGTATTGGAATTGAAAAGCCGAGATCGTATCAGCAATACAGCCGGAGAAGTAACAAGAGAAGCCATCCTCAAATGGCTGGATTCAAAGCCATCGAACTCTGTTTTATACGTCTCATTCGGGTCGATGAACACGATTTCCGCCTCCCAAATGATGCAATTAGGCAAAGCATTAGAGGGCAGCGGCAAGAATTTCATCTGGGTAGTTCGGCCTCCAATTGGGGTGGACATAAACTCGGAATTCAAAGCGGAGGAATGGCTGCCGGAAGGATTCGAAGAGAGAAACAAAGCTTCAGGGAGGGGGCTGTTGGTGCAGAAATGGGCGCCGCAAGTGGAAATTCTGCCGCACAGAGCAGTATCGGCATTTTTATCGCACTGTGGATGGAATTCAGTGATGGAATCGCTAAGCCAAGGGGTGCCGATACTGGGATGGCCGCTAGCGGGAGAGCAGTTCTTCAACGTGAAATTTCTGGAGGAGGAGGTGGGGGCTTGCGTGGAGGTGGGGAGAGGAAAGCAGAGCAAAGTGCAGAGTGAGGATATTGAAAGGAAGATAAAATGGGTGATGGAAGAGACGGAGAAAGGGAAGGAGATGAGAAGAAATGCAGAGAAAGTGAAGGAGATAATAGACAAGGCATGGAAACATGGGGATGGATCCTCTGTTAAATCAGTACACGACTTTCTGACCGCCGCCAAACAACTCATAGTTTAAGCTTTTAATTTCAAGGTATCATCATGATACGCTACAATAAGAACACATTAAATCCAAGTACTTTTATTATTATTATTATGGTTATGGGTCAGAATTCGTATATTGTGAGGCCCAGCCGCAACAAAATCAGAAACAGAAAACAATACCCATTTGGGTATCTCTGAGGCCCAGTTGATGGTTTATGGACTGTTTTTGGATATCATCCCTGAAGCCGTCAATGGCATGGCATTGATGCGCCATAGCCGCCGGTGTCCTCACCGGTCTAATTCTTCTTCTTCTGTGGTGGCGTCAGGAGCAATGCAAATGAAATGATGATTATGTATTGTTATAGAATAAAGAGTGTGCATCTGGTGGTGTAACATTAAAAAAAGGGTAATGAAATAAATGTTGAAATTGTCGAAAGAAAACAGAGTTTAATTATGTTTAATAGGGGAGGGGGTTGTGTTGTGTGAGGGGTGGTGGTGCAAAGGGAGTGAGGGATGGGTTAGCAGCGCAGGTGGGGAGAGGCCTAATATTTATGCAAACCAAATGAAATCGACCACAAAAATATAAGAATGAAATGAATAAAGTAAATTAAAGACAGAGCCTCACTATCACTCTCTTCTCTAATACACAGAAACGCAAACAAACCCATCGTATAAAGTCCCGATTCAGAATTCAATTCATCCTCTCTCTCTCTCTCTTTTTTTTTTTTTTCTCCGGTAATTATTTATAAAAAAAAAAACGAAAAGAGGAGAGGGAAGCCCTTTTGGATTCATTATTGTTTTTTGAATTCAATCCTCATAAACCCTAAATTCGAAATGGGAATGATGACGTGAGGAGGGGTGGCTACGGACATGGTTGAGCAACGCGAAACCAACACCAAACCATGGGGAACGCTGGAGGAGCTCTTGCTCGCCTCCGCTGTTAATCGTCATGGCACCACCAGTTGGGAGTCCGTCGCTATGGAAATACATAATCGATGCTCTCAATCCTCTTCTTCTTTAACTCCCCAAGATTGTAGGATCAAGTTCCACGACCTCAAGCGCCGATTCCTCTCCCAAAATGACCTCGATTCTGATTCTACCTCCCTTATGCCTATGCTTGACGAGTTGAGGAAGATTCGGGTGGAGGAGCTCCGCCGCGATGTTCAACGTCGGGATGTTTTGATCGTGTAAAATTCTTGCTCTTCCACTCAGAGATCTGACGCCGACTGATTGGTGGGTTTAGAGATCTGAAGATGTTTCCCCCTTTTTGTTTGTGTCGACAGGTCATTGGAAATGAAGGTGAAGCGGTTGGAGGAGGAGAGGGAACGGAGTTTCAACGAACCCGATGGGGGACCGGATCTGGACGTGAACGCCATCGACACCAACCTCTGTCCCCTTAATCCCACGCCCTCCGGCGACGACTCCGACGATCGCGAGAACCGATCCCTGGACGAATCCAATTCCACAAGTAAAAAAGAGGAGGGTGTTGGACAGAAGGGCGTGGTTCGGGAGAGGCCGATATCCGAAACAATGAAAATCACAAAAAAGAAGGAAACCGGGGCGGCACGAACCGGGGATGAACCGGAGGCAGAGAGAGAAAAGGAGACTGCAGCGGGAGGAGGATATAAACGACGGGAGAAAAAAGAAAGAAATTGGGGGAATTCGAAGGGGAAGGCGTCGGCGGTGGGCGATTCGAACGAAGCGTGGGAATCGGTGAGCGAGTCGAAGCAAGAAGGGAAAGAGGGGGCGGTGGCGAAGCAGCAGAGCAGCGACGTACAAAGCTCAGCCGGTTTGTCTCAGAGGAAACGGTGTCGTAGCAGAGGAGGAAATGGAACTAGCAGCGGCGAAGAGCCCGAGGTATCTCCCGCCAAGCCCAAGCCCAAGCCCAACTCCAAGTCCAAGCCCAACCCCAAGCCCAACTCCAACCCTGCAGCCGTCAAATCTGAGCCGTTGCTCAAATTTCTGGAGATCATTCGCTCCCATCGGCTTGGCTCTGCCTTTGAACGCCGCCTACGGAGCCAGGTACGTTCGCCCCATTTACCTATTTTATATCAATTATAATAAATAAAATAATAAAAAGGAAAAAGGAAAAAAAGGGAACGTAGAAAAAGTAACGTGTAAAGAAGGAATCACCCATCATTCATCATCCTCAAATAAGTCCAGGTGGATGTGAAATCCACGACTTTGTGCTTGGGGGCGCGTGTCGTAGTCGTAGGACGTAGAAGGACTTTTTTGTCATTCACGCTTACAGAACGAGGGTATTTTGGTCCTTACGGTAGGTGACATCTTTGCCTTGTCACCTTCACACATAAGCATGCAATCGATACTTTTTTTGAACCTTGCCAAAACAGCGTCGTTTAACCCTCAGATTGAAATTACTTCGCTGCCCCAATCGCTAAATCAAGTCTAGTCAGTCATTGGCGGATGACCCAAAAGTTAAATATGGGTAAAATGGTAAATGTGATCACTGCTATTTCTATTTTTTTTTTTTTTTTTATCATTCTAAACAATTAATATTTTTTAATGACATACCTGGCGATTCAGAAATATCCCAGCCGTTCATCTCTCCAACCGTTTCCGGTTCGACGAGATGGACCTATATCCCGGTTTGAATCCCCAGTCTGTCCGTACGGTTCAGAACGCTTTCCTAAACCCCTCTCCATCGGCGGAGGAACTGAGTGGACCCTCTCTTTAATTATCCATTGTTTTAATTGTGGCAGGAATCGGATAGATACAAAAAATTGATTCGGCAACACATCGATCTGAGAACGATTCATTCGAGAGTGGTCAAAGGCGCGTATGCGGATTCAATTCACCGGTTCTTCCGAGATCTCCTCCTCCTCTTCAACAATGCCGTCATCTTTTTCCACAGATCTTCCCCCGAAAATGGTGCCGCAGTGAAGCTTCGAGCTCTCGTGTTGAAAGAAATGAAAGACAGAATACGAAAGCCCCAACCCCCCATAGTTACAAAATCAAAACCCAAGCAAGAAGCGGATGTGTCATCGTCCAAGCCCAGCAAGCCATCTACTACCATGGTGGTGTGTCGCAAACGAGATTCTGTTTCTCAGATATCGGATGTGGGAGGCAAAAAATCGGAGAATAATTCAAGAGAGGGTGAAGGGAAGAGGAAGGGTAATGATTGTTCGGAGATAAAAATTTACGAGAAGGGTACATGGAAGAAGGGTTTGAATTTGAAAGAGAGGGGAAGAGCGGGAGTGGGTAATTCAGGGGCGAGAAGCTGTAGAACAACGACGAACAAAAAGAATGGGGAAGTGAAGCACGAATACGGGGGCAACGAATTGAGCTCTCACGATGGGATGGGAGTTCGAATAGAAAAGAAAGAGAAAGGGACGAAGAAGAAGCAAGTGGCTGTAAGGTTCTTGAAGAGAATGAAGCAGAATTCTCCAAGCGAAGCTACGGACGAAGATGGCGATGGTTCAGAGGATGAAAGTTTAAAAGAAGAGGAGGAGGAGGACGAAGAAGAAGAAGAAGAGGAAGAAGAAGAAGAAGAAGAAGAGGAGGAGGAGAAGAAGAGGAAGATCAAGAAACAGAATGAAGGGAAAAGAGAAAGGGGAAGGCGGAGTGGGGGAGGAGGAGGAGGAAGAGGAGGGGGGAGAGGGAAGAGAGGGGTGGGGAGGCCGCCGAAGAAAGCTGAAACAGTGAGCGTAAAAAGGCAACAGAGGGAGGAGGTGGTTGGAGGGAGTAAACCCCGAAAGCGTTCAAGGAGATAAAAGATCATTATTATCATTATTGATTCTTAAATGTACAATGTAAACTATTCGACTCTGTTTTTTTTTTTTTTTCCATTTTCTTTAGCAGCAGCTTACATTAGAAACAGAGACAGAGAGAGAGGAGAGCGGGAGGAAAACAGGGGGAGAGGAGAGCGGGAGGAAAACAGGGGAGTGGGGACTGAAAACAGGGGAGTGGGGACTGACTGACAGAAGGAAGAACCATTCTTTATTATTCTTTTTTGTGTTTCCTTTTTGGTTTGCATAGGGAATTTTGTGGGTGGCAATTCATATACATAATATCCTCAGATTAAAGAATTCTTTGGACTTGGGAAGCTTGATTCTGTTGTTGAAATTGAAGTAAGTGGAGTTCAGCTAAGGTTGGCATGACCCATTTCCACGACAGCCTGGGCCTGGTGTCCAACTGATGTTGAACTTAAAAAGAGTTTCAAGTTTAAGAGGGGAATCATGTGACTGACTCACATGACACCCATGTGAACCAAATCATAAATTAAACAATAATCTTCTTTCTTCAGACTACTCACTACTCACTACCACCGATCAGATCAGATCAGATCAGATCAGATCTGTAAGCACACCCTCCCCACGCCGACTATGAAAATCCCTCTGCTCTGTTTCTTCGCCTTCACCATTCTCATCTTCATTTCCGTTCCTTTTCCAATGGGATTCCGCACTCACGAATCCGCTCGTCTTCCCACGCCCCGAATTGAATCCAGAAGACTGCTGCTGCTCTCCTCACTTTCCTCCTTCTCCACCAACCGGAACAAGACCAAGACCGGCAGCACAGGCGCTAAATCTGCAGACGCCACAAGCCTGAGGGTGGCGCCGCCGAGCAAATCCAATCCCACGCAGAACAAGTAATGCATTGNATTTTTTTTTTTTTTTTTTTTTTTTTTGTTGTTGTTGTTATTGTACAAACATGTTAGAGTGAGAAGTGAAAGAGCAGGTTCAACCAAAACCCTTCTCTTTCAAAATTTTTGCAGTTCTGTTTTTTATATATAGATTATTATTATTCATAAACAGACATGAAGGGATTTCTGTGTTCTTGCATACTGTCCCCGCTTTCAATTTGATGGTAGTGATTGATATGATGAATTGTATTTTGGTTCTTCGTGAGACCGTAGATTTATTTATTTATTTATGGGAAATACACTTAAATTGGAAATGTTTGGATCTGAGTCTCTATAATTAGTGAGTTTATGTCAAAAAAAAAAAAAGTATGTAAATTTGGATTTGGGGTCGCATTTTATATTTAAGTAACACAAAATAATAAATATATTTCACCAAATAAACTAAAAACGTCAAATCCTCAATGGACTACTCAACAACACATTTCTAAAACCAAACTCAAATCTAATTTATTTAAATACTTTTTTTTTAATTAGTTTACAAATGTGTTCCTAATGTTTATTTTAAATATAAGATGTAACAACAAGAGAATTAAAGCTACTACTGTAGTTTTTTTTGTGCGAAAATATTTATTTAAAATAATTCATAAAATAATATCATAGATTTATACCTTTACATAAGAGTCTTAAAAAAAAAAAAAAAAAAAAAAA